CTTCATCACCTTAAACGAAATTGGGTGAATACAACTCATACTACTGATTTACTGGTAGTCACGAAAACAACACTTAATTCGAAAAATATGTGGAATTGAATGGAAACGTCAGCTCAACTCATATCATTGTGGGAAAATTCTACTACCATTCCTTCATCACCTTAGACGAAATAGGATGAATACATCTTTTATTAACACTTAAGGGACTTAAAGTGTAGACCTTAAAAGAGTCCATTAGCGAAAAAGTTGTTTTTGCTTTCGAGACTTTGCTTCATTTTCTTTCGTGTCATGAGACTGCCACTAGCGGACCGTATCACATTGATGGGAGGAGGCGATGAAATGACATGGAAATCCAACTATTTCTATCCTCGGTCGGTTGGGAAAGGCTTTTGTGTGCACCGACTAACGTCGAAGCGACGCCAGTTTGGGCATAGGCTTTTCGCCTCGAATGGGACGAGCATGACTTTTTCCTTTTTGTATGGTTGTAAAGTATCATTTCACTTCAGGCAATAGGAAGGTCTCAAATTGCACGTCGTTGCAGTCAAAGTATGCAGTTTAAAGGGGTCAATTTAATTATATTAACTGATTTTCTCTTTTATACATTTTACCAAGTATGCGTAATCAAGCAGATATGCTGTCTCGTCTATTCATCAAAACTAAACGACCCACGTCTCTAAATCGTATTTTTAAAGCACAAAAAGTTGGCTGGACAATCCGTCAGCTCAACTCATATGATTGTGGGAAAATTCTTCTTCTACCAGTCCTACATCACCTTACACGAAATAGGGTGAATACATTTCATAACGGCCAAAGCTAGACAACATTCCTCGTGGACAGCGTGAAATTGGGCATCGTTTTTAAGCCAAACTGCAGTAAAACAGCACAAGTCAATTGTGGTCTTTGAGTCGAATCAACCCAATAATCACTTCTTTACGGATTGTCAGACGAAATCTAAGTCGCCACAACATTTTCATATGAAAATACTCATATAAATCCAGCCATCTTATATGTCCGGCAGAAAATCCCTCGATTTTCAAAAAGTTCATACCACACTACTTCTTTTAAATGAGTAGTCCAAAATAAGAATTCTATGATCTATGTTGTATTGAGGTCAGACAGCGAATATCTTCATCATGCAATTTCACACTAAATGCAAATCTCCACAACAATGCCTTTCAAGAGATTCTCGGTCGCGTATATTTCGATTTTCGAATATGATCAGTTTATGCTACTTTTATGTGTACGAGTAGTACAAATTGCTTAAATTGTCAACTGTGTACGCCTGAACATGGCAGCACAGCCAAAAGACTACAACATTTGCGCATGCGCATCTTGTCATCATACACTTTGACGCAAAATGAAAGTTTGCACAACCAGTTGTGCGTTTGTGGCTAGTTTGTGAAACAATGCATAACTTACTTTCGTGCCTTGCCGAGCGTCTTGCTGAAGGCAATGTCGACAGCGTTTTGCGACAACTTCTTGTCGGTTATCTTCGAGTCTGTGCAGATCTTTTTGATCGTCTTGTCGGTGGCTGTACTCGATCCCTTCTTGCATGCGTCGCAGTAGGTCAAGAAGATCTCCTCCATTTCGAGCAGAGCAAGGCGGACGAGCTGAGCGGACAGTCGTCACCGAATGATCAGGCCTTCTGTCTTTGTTGGGATTCTGCTCGCCAATTTATACCGGCCCACTGGGCCCTGCTGGACGTCCTGACGTGTCTGGACGGTGCCGGTCATTTGTGCCACGTCTCGACGTCTCTCCTCTCCTCTCCTCTCCGTCTCGTCCCCTCCAGCTGACCAATCAAAATCGGGCTCTTGTTCACTCGACCAGTCTGGCCTGCCGATCGTGAGCCAATCAAATGTGGCCACCGTCTCTCTTCTGCCTATCACAACGTTCGGCCTGGCAGGCATCACGTGACGTCGACTGCTCAAACCATCCACTCGCCACCAATCACAGCGCTCCATTTCCACACACCTCATCCAGGCTGGGTGAAAGTGCACTCTTGGCCCGTCTCGGCCATCTCTCAATGCCACATCAGCCCGCGACCTGATTGGTCAGTTCACGAGGTCTC